GGGCTGCTGGTGACACAGTCTCCATCCTCGCTGGGACAGAGGAGTGTTGTCTCTAGTGATAAGGCCGGTTCCGGAAACGCGCCGCAGGGAGGAAGGAAACCGGGAAGGTGGGGGAGGGAAAATATGAGAGAGGAAAAAAAAATAGGAGCAGCAGGAAGTTCACCCAGATAGGAACTAATGGAATTTGTTTTTCAGCGTCTCCAACGCCAACCCGCCAGCCTAGTCCGCAGACAGACAGAGAGACACACGCCGTGTTCACAGCTCCGGGCTCGGGTCAGCCTGAGGGCTGGGGCCTCCTCACTCAGCTCAGTCCATTCGACCCGCCCTTCGTCCCTGCAGCTAGCGCTCCATCTCCACAGGCTCGCGGCATCCCAGCGCCGCCGCCTCCCGACCAGCGCGGTACAAAGACGCGGGGGAAGGCGGCCCCGGAAGGAGAAGCGAATGACCAGCCGTGCCCGCACCTGACAGCTCTGAAGAGTTTCCTGAGTGACTAGTAATCGGTGACGCCCTCACTGGTTCAGCCAGGAATCCTGCAGAGGAAGAAACGAGCCCCACACATGGCCGCGGCCGGGGACGCGCCAGGCCAGCCCGCCCACAAGGCCGGGAGACAGCCCCCCGGCAGCGGGACGCCTGTCAACGAAACACAGCCCCAGATGTTTAAAAACACAACATGGCACAAGCAAACACTCATTCCAGAACCCTTCTCAGGAACCGGCGTGAGACTGGTCATTCATGAATGACTGTCTTCTACTCTCAGAGAAGAGACGGTTATCTAGAAATCGAAAACAACAGCTATTTTGGGTGCCAACCATCAAGCGATACAAGCCACAGTTTTAAGATGAGCAACAATTGAGACCATTTTTTAAAAAGCACAATGAGATTTCAGTCAGGGATGCCCCATCGTGTGCTAAGCCCTGACTCACCCCGGGCTGGGGACCTGCGGGGCGAGCCAGGCGCTTCCCCGCTAAGGACGCAAAGGTCGGAGAGAGGGCAGAAGAGAGCATTTAAGTTTCACAAATATGTCCTAGATATTTTGGGTTTAGCTTGGACTGCTGCTTTGTTTTGATGCTGTATTTTTAATTTCCCATCTAATACACGCAAAGTCATCAAGGAATCACTTGGGCGGGGACAGTCGGTTCCCCAGACAGTCCGAGGCCCACCCCTACAGCCCTCACAGAGAAGAGTGTCATTCAGATGACTCACTTCCCTGTGGATGGGGAAGACCTTAATTATGCACAGACATGGATCTTACAGCTTCTTTCTGGATCGAGGACTCCTCTGAGAAGCTGAGGAAAACAGGGAAAGGCCTGCCGGCACAGTGGGCTTCAACACCTGGGTGTGCACCTGTCCCACGGGGCCTGCACTTCCAGGGGCTCGCCAGCCTCACCCAGCAGGTGACAAGCATGGCCATGGCAGCGACAGTGCTTTATACAGCGTGCCAGTGGGCTCTACTCTGGAAATCACTAATGGAAACAATGTGGCGACAGGCTTGGACTTTTGAGGCATCAAATGACCCGATTGCCACATGGCTACCTGTGCGGACCCAGGAGACACAAGTGCAGCACACACGAGCACAGGAGGCCTGAGCTGAGCATCCCAGACAGTTGCGGTCCCACCTGACGCGGTGACGCGGCGCACACATGATATTCTACTTGGAATCAACTGTGCTGGCCATGCCCTGGGCTTGGGGGCAGGGACACAGTCATAGGGAAGCGAGAGGGAGATCTCTGGGGTGAGGGGCTCGCTCTGTGTCTAATCAGGGCGTGGCACAGCATCCACAAAAATGATGAAGCGGCACAGAACACCCCCGCCTCCCCCCGCCGCCCCCTGGGCCAGTCCCCACTTCCTGGTCTTCTTGCACTTCGTTATGCACATGGAACCACCGGGAACCATCTTTCCGACTTCCCGCAGATCTGCAATTATTTCAAAAGTAAAAGTAAAAACAAAAAAAACCTCTTATGACTGTTAATCAAAGGGCCGATGTTTCTTGGATGTGAGTGTGCGCAGATCATCCGTTCCCTCTGAGACCAGAAAACACACCAACAGCCCCACCACTGATGCCCCAGAAACTCGGGCTGGCGCTCCTCCCTCGCCCCCAGCGCCACGGCCACGTGTCCCCAGAGTGGCCGAGGCACTGGGAGGCGAGCGTCGGGCCCATACCGCCAGCTCTGACTGCCGGCAAGAAAGGAAGGTCTTGAAATTGATACACCATTTTCAGCAAAATGAGAATAACAGCCAAATACTTCCTCACAAAGTCATAATAGAGTATTAGCTGCTAAGTCTCCAGCAAAAGCTCAAATAAACCTTCAAAAGCATAACTAAATCATTTAAATGTAGATTTTTTTTAATGCCAAAAACCCCTGCAGTATGGCTACAGGGAGGGTAAAGGCACTAACTGGGGTCACAGGAACCTGGATTTAATCCCACACTGGAGCTTCTTCCCTCTTTCTGAGCCTCAGTTTCTTCGCTAACACGGGAACGACGTGCTGATCTGGAGGAGCGTGGTGAGGACCAGCCGAGGCGCTACTGGGAGTGCAGGGCGTGGCTCAGAAGCGTGAGAACTGCGGTCTGGGTGGCTGAGACAGTGAGGGTGGCAGAAGCAGCAGGCCGCTGCGTGAGAAAGGGTGCTGCTGAGCCAGATGTGGCCACTGCCCACGGCCCCTTCATTCAAGGCGCAGCAACGAGATTGGGTCACACCTTTCCTAGTGCACTGCAGCGGGACCGCGCCTCTGACACCAAGGCTGCCCTGGCTCCTGAGGCGCCTCAGGTGTCTGGCCTCCGGCAGCACCTCTGCTGTGGTGAAGCCAAACACAAACGCCAGCATTGCTATGGGGTCAAGGGAGGAAAAACAAAGCCATTTCCTTCCAGCAGCAAACAGGAGCCAAGAGAAGTTGTACTTTCAGACAGATCTGATCAAAGGCCTCTTGCTCTTGGCCACAGAGCTGTTGTTACCAGCACAGCGAGGTGTCTTAGCAACAGCGCCTTCAGACGCGGTACAGGTGAGCCTCAAGACAAGCAAAGCGGGGAGATGGAGCCCACGTGCATGTGAAAGACAGGCGGGCGGTGCTGTCCAGAGGCCCTTCACCTGGTGCCTTCAAATATGACCGGACTTAGACGGTCTGTCTTATATAGACCTGCAGCACGTGGTGAGTGTGAAACACGCAGAGCCCTACCCAGGGTGGGGGTGTGGCCTGGGAACCCCTGAGAAATGCACAGTCTCAGTCTCCCCGCCTCCCAGCATGAACCCAAATCTTCCATTTAATAAAGCTCCCAGGCGCACCGCAGTCCAGAGCCAGGCCAGTACAGGCACACGTCAGGGCTTCCACATTCCCCACCCTAGTTTGGGGTGGGGCGGGGGGCTGGAAGCCTGGCATGAGCGCTTTCTGAAACGCTCCCTAGGTAGCGACTGAGTGCCGAGGACAGCTGCCACAGATGGGGCTGGCTGCTCGGAGGACAGACAGCGCCAGCAAGCAGGATCTCACCTGCAGCAGCGGCAGCAGCCGCTCCACACACACAGCCCATGGTCTTCGCTACGCCAGTTACAGCCAAGCAGATGCCGCCGGCTGAGGCCCAGGGAGCGTTTCCCAGGCCCTGCAGACAGGCAGGCTGCTTGCTTTGACACGCTTACGAGCAACCATGCCACCAGGAGTCCAGCCACAAGGAACAGCGTGAAAACCTCACGGCACCAACTCCACCAAGTCCTCAGACTGACACCGCCAGAGGGCCAGAGCGAGGGCCTCCTCCAGAGGAAAGCTTTCCTGTTTTGCCAAATATATTCATTCCTTTACAGTTCTGCCCAAGGCCCACAAATAGGAGGTCTTCCTAGGGTCAAGTACAAAATTTCCAAGAGGGTGCTGCAGAAGAGGAAGCTGGGCAGCAGGGAGAAAAGGGAGGATGATCACACAATCCCAGGGCACAGGCTTTGAGGGGCCGCGGGAAGGATGGACGCGGCGGGCGGGGGAGGTGCCGATGCCCCATGCAGGCGTGGAGGGCTGGCTCTGGAGGCGAGGCTTGGGCAGAGCAGGGGCGAGAAGGCATCGTGCCCCTCAGCAAGGCGGGGGCCCGGGAGCCCAGGTCTCCTTTCGGGGCCTGCATCCGCACTGCTAAAGGGGCAGGGGCAGAACGGTGCTGAAAGACCAGGAATGTCATCCCAACCTGCCAGGGACATCGCTAAACAAAATTTCTAGTAACTCGTTACTGTAGTCTTTGAAAATAATAGTAACGAACAGTTACCAACTTGGAAAATTTTCTGCCAGTCTGGAGACATGTGAGGAGCCAATGAAACACCCTGGCTGGGAACTGAGAGGCAGACTAGGGGACCCATGGAGCAAGGACGCTGTCCAGCTTGCGCAGAAAACATCAACTCAAGTTCTTTTTATCCCATTATCTCCAAAAACCCACATTTCAAAACTCACAGTGCTTTGCCGTCCACACCACACAGGGTGACACCGGGAAATACCACACATGTCAGTGCTACTCACACAGCTTGTTTAAGAGTCAGGACTAGGAATTACGGATTGATGCTATGTAGGGATTTAGTTAAGAGGCTGGGTAAGGACAGTTTGTCACCTTCTTCTAGCTTTGAAATAATCTGGTACACAAGCAGGTAACACATAGCCCCTCCCTCCAGATTCCACGTCGCAAAGTGCTTTAAGGATGGAAGAGAGCAGGGCCAGAGCAGCAGTGACACCCCCAGGCATATTCTAAACAGGGATGCAGGCTGAGCAGAACACCCGGAGTCCTGCAGCGACCTCCCTCTCCTGTGGGGAAGGGAGAGGCCTCCCCCTCTGAGGAGACCAGTAACTGGCACCCTCCCAGTCCAGTCCTCCCACCGGAAAAAACCAGGGACACCAACAAATTTTCCAAGATGTTTCCTTATGAAACATCACCTACCCTGTGACCCCCCCAAGACCACCGCAGCCTCCGTGAGGTTGGGTGAGTCTGTGCAGAGCCGGGTAGCAACAGACGGGGGAGTTCTACCCACGCGGAAAATCGAATACCTCGTGAGTCTTCTTATTCTGCCTTTTCCCAAAAATGCAGTCAAGATCGGTTTTGCTCCGAGAGGACAGATCCTTCCCTAGAAAACAAGACGAGGCCGTTCAGCAAGACCTTTCTTTCTAGAATAAGCAGCACAAATGTAGACCACATTTTAAAAAAGAATGGTTTTGAATAAATGAACAATTCTGCAAACTATTTACTGTCTTCCCTTCACAGATTACAGCTCTTTAATTAATAAAGTTAAATTAAATCTAAACTAAAAGAACACTGAAAAGCAAATATGGGTGCTCGAAGCAGCGCCCGACCTCAGTGCCAAGGCAGGACCACCGGGGCCCACAGGCAGCGGAAAGCATCGGCTGCTGCGAGCTGAGGTCCCAGCTCCCCACTTGCAGCACAGCCCTTATGTACTCCAGGAGACTGTGTGCCCCCTGAGGATTAAGGGGTGTGGACTGAAACCCAGCGCGGGGCAGAGCTGCGGCCCCGCGGGCAGATGAATGCAAGGAGCTGCTGGGCTGGGCGAGAGGGCTTTGGATTTCTCTTTTGAAAGCGTCTTCTCCTGTTGTCACCACGCCACTTTAAATGAAAGTGCAAGCAGCAAGAGCAGGAAATTAAATGGCTTCAGGTAAAGCAGTGGCCAAAGGATCCACGATCCCTATTTAAACAACTGAGCTTTAAGCTGCGTTTCCAACCCACGACCCAGCTCATTTAAAACCTGCTGCTTTGGAACTCCCGCCAGTCCCGCTCTGGGAGCAGTCGACCAAATCTGTCCCATGTGTCAACTCCGAGGCAGGTGCGTCTGAAAATGCAACTACCTCACGGAAAGCCTCAGGCGGGGCGCACAGGAATGTCTGGCTGGAGCTGGAGCCCGAGCTCCACCGTCACGACTCCTGTCCTGCGGTGTCCTGCCACGAACTGGCGGGCAGAGTGACGTCGTGACCCAGGAGTTCGCGCTCACTGCCGATCACGGGGGCAGCCACTTAGGATTTTGCTCAGTGACTCCATGAAATGGAAAACAAAACACCCTGAGATTTCACGCAAAACCAGTTCCACAGGCAGCGGCTGGCGACAGCGGGCCAGTTGGCAGGACCTGTTCCTGTGGGGACACTCCTGCCGGGCCCTCTGCTGCTTTCTTCCTTAGCTAGAAACGACAGCTTCCTGGCTACGAGTGAGTATTCAGAAGAACCCAGATAAAAGACCCTGCGGGAAACTCAGGAACACCACAAAGCCCGTCCCAGAAAGAACTCAGCAAAGTGCCAGAGAAGCCGGGAGCGAGCCGGTGCCGATGAGACGTGGGCAAGCCCTGGGCGGGGGCGGGGTCTTAGGTCTACGTCGGGCATCACTGGCGCCGGGGCCCAGCGTGGTGGGGCAGCAGCCGGGGCAGGTTCAGAAAAGCTCCCCTCTCGCTAAGCTACCCTCGGGAGCGGAAAGACAGGCTAACAGAATGTAAACGGAGACCTCTTCTACAGCATCACCCACAGGACAGCTGCTGGGGGAGCCTGCAGGGGGACCGCTGGGGAGCAGGGAGGGCAGAGGCAGAACAGACCAGGATCCAGGGACGGGCGGTCTGTGGGGGAGCCTCAACACAAACCTAAGAGCCAAGGGAAAACCGCCGGGCGGGGGCGACCGTGAGCTGTACCAGCGCAGGTGCAAGCGAGGCTAAAGTTTTGGTGATGGGTTCTTGTGTGACAAAGTGCTATTCTTTAGCAAAGCTCACTTAAGTAAATGTAGAAACCAGGACTGTTACAGGCCTTGCTCTCTGGATTTGATCTGGAAGACAAAACACAGAGAAGAAAGAAGAGTGAGAGACCAGCAGGAGGAACAGGAGGAAGACAGGAACATGGAGCAGTGCTGGGAGCTGGGAGCAGTGGGCCCGGTGAAGCAGCCTACGGAGGTTGTAAAGTTAGGGCCACTCTTGGGTAAACAATACATATTAAAAGTGAGTCCGGCAGCTCATGGGTCTCGGTTCAGAATTATGGTCAAAGTACAGCAACCACCACTGGGAACTCAGCGCTCAGGACAGGCCAGAGCGTGCGCAGCCGGCGCTGAGGTCCACCCGCCAGGCTTGCAGCGGCTGGGGCCTTTCTAGAGCCAGGAAAAAGGCCTCCGGCAGCTGAGCTGATGTGGCCAAGCCCACAAAGGGGCGCGCGCGGGCTTTCCCGGGAGAGCTCACTCCAAGCACCACCTTTTCAGCTGTTTCTCCAGCAAGCAGGCCCGGGGGGCATCCACAGGCGGGAAGCCATGAAAACAACAGCAAACAGGCACCAGAGCCGGAGAAGCAGGAGTCTGAGGCAGTGTCGGAGCCGCGAAGCGCCAACGAGTTCTAAGGGGAGAAGTGTCCAAGCGCCCACGGAAGCACTGCTCGCCCTCCCAGTGGGGCAAAGAGGGCGGGAAGGGCGGGCAGGGTGGGCTGAGGAACTCTCGTTGGTTAAAATAAAGCCACTTCAAGGTTTACAGAGGTATAGCGCTTGCTTAAAAGAGTCCCTTGCATCCTGATCAAGAAGAGAAAACTGTCATTGTATTTTGATTTTTTAAAACAAAACCACGGGGCTGAGCCATCCAGGGCAGGAGACAACAGCCCCCCCCCCCCACCAAGGTGAGGTGTGGGGGAAGCAGAGGGCCCTGCGAAGGCCTGGGGGCGCTGGGGGAGGGGGCTCACACCATGACGACACCGCTCCAGTGTCATGAAGCCTGCGAGAGAGCTACCTTCTATTTTAATGTAGCAAGAATCAGAAGAGGCAACCTACGGCCCAGGTGGCAGAGACCAGCTTGAGGGGAGATAGTGTGCACGCTGGGAAGGAAAGTTCTGGTTCCAGACTAGCAAGCCGACTACAAGATACCTTGTGCCAGGAATTTTCTTGCTTCAGAAGCAAAATATAATGCATCACGGGAATAAGAAGCGTGAGTAGATACTCAGCACACAACTACAGCTCACACACCTTTCCTCCAGCCTCCCCTCCCCCACCCCGCCATGCTTCCCCCACGTCCTGGATGCGGCTGCATCTACTGGAAATGTCAAAATGGGGACTTTCTCCATTTTTCTCCTCCCTGCAAATGTGACCCAGCCACACAGTTTTCAAGTTAAGAGAAACCACCCTAGAGTTAGGATTGTCAACAAATACGGATGAAATCAGCTTGTAAAATGAGACAGCAGCAGCGAATTTCGCAGCACCATTGGCTGCTGACAGCTCACTGAAGTAAACCTCATCTTCGCGCTTCACACCAGGCCATGCAAGGCCATCTTCCCGCGTCTTCACTCCTGGACCATCCGCGCGGTTATAACATGAGTCTTCCCCATCAAATAAGTGAGTTAGTCGCTTTCCTTACGAGCGTAACCATGGGATAAAGTCCTTACATCCAAAATGCAGAACAAGCAAATGTTTCATAAAATGGGTCATGAAACAGAGCTCAATAGCGACTTCAAAATCTGTTCTCATTTTGCAAAGAAGGAAACTGAGTTGATGGGAGGGGAGTGGCCGAGAGCTCTGCCTCGAGGGTGGTGGCCGGCAGCAGGCTCCCCGGGCCCAGGACAGTCACTGCGAGGAGACCACCTTCGGTCGACCCGGCACATCAGTGCGGCAGCTGCTCCCGGGATGCCTTTCAGGAAACCACAGGGACTTCAAGATAAAGGCTTTGTAGCCACCCTGCCCTGCGCCTCACGAGCGGACGCAAATACCCTCTCCTTCACTCCTGGGCCTGCTGTTCCTGCTCCATGCACCCCCTGTACACAGCAGCTCTGCTATCCCTTCTCCCAGCCCGCCTCTCTGGCTGTCTCCACCTCTTGCTGCTGCGGAACAGCACCCTCCCTCTGTGACAGGCTGACAACAGCAAACCTGGTTTTAAAAGCCAGAGGAGGAAGGCAAGGCCCCCAGCAGGAGACAGGGTCACCAGGGCAAGGGAGTGGCTCCACAGAAACAGACAGCAGACACTCGCGGCGTCCGTGAGATTAAGGCAGATTAAAGGGCCTTAAACCAGCTTCAGCAAACGCTTCCGGGGAAATCATGCATGTAGTCAGGTATAAAGGAAAACCGGAAGATTCTATTTACAAAAGTGAAAGCTTAAAAGCCACCACCCCACCCACAGTCACAGGCCCCTGCTACCGTCACTTAACACCGTGTGCCCGCTTCTCCTCTAGGGTCTGAGGAAAAGGGGGGCTTGTTTAGGGGATGAAGTGACCCTTCATTCTCTCCTCAAAAGGACTGGGAGGCCCCACCACCGTCTGTATTCGGCAGCAGGTCGGATGGAGAGAAGCCTGTTCTGAAGCCATAAGGAAAGCAATAAGGAAGGTTCCAGACTAAAAGGAAGACAAGTCCTGCAAACTGCACCTGCTGGGAGCAGGGAGAGAGCAGCAGTTCCCACCCCCTCTCCACCCGCCAAGCACCCGGCCAATCCACTCAGCACCGCCATGGGCTTTGGCAGAAGGCAAATCCACCCTTACTTATGGGGGTCTCCCCGAAATGAGAGCCCCCATTACTCCTTGACAGTAGTGGGAATTCCCGCTCCCACAGCCGTCTGGGCAGGCTCGAGCTGTGAGGGAACCCCCAGTCAGGCCAACAGACCCATGTGAAGGATGCGCTTTCCCACCACGTCCCAGACAAGCATGACGTGGTGACCAGAGAGCACCGGTACACTTTGGGGAGACGATGAACTGGACGGGCTTCTGCGCCGGGAGTGCACCTCTGTCCAGACACTGCTGGAGAGCCGGGCAGCGCTGGGACGGCACAAGGTCGCCACCTGGTGGCCACAGGGGAAGGCGCACCGGCCAGGGGCCAGAGCGGGGAGGTGGGGCTGACCACCCAGCTCTGGTGGTCTGGGCAGACAGGGAATGCTACTTCAACACTCCGAGAAATGGAAAACAGGTGCGCCGCGATGCATGAGTCGTCTCAGCAGCAAGATCTGCCACCCTGGAGCTCCCACATAGAGCCCGAGCATCTAAAGTGGCACATTTTTGAGGATACTCAACACTGACATTCTGCTCTAAGACACGGGAACACGGGACGGAACAGAAAATGTGTAATGGTCACGTCACTTTCTGAGCAGGCCACGAAAGCCCTTTCTCAGTGTGGCCATCAGCCTGTGCCTGGCCTGAACCCCACCTCAGGTGTGCAGAATCTGACTGTTCCAGGCAGCTTGCAGAGCTGGGCCCTCAGCCCCCCTAGGCCAGGTGGTCAGGCTGTCCAGCCTCCCCCTCTGTCCACAGAACAAGAAACGACACTGGTGGGCGTGAGTGAACAGGAAATTCAACAGCAGAGGAAGAAACGCTTCGCTTTACCTTTCGTGAACTTCATGTAATGAACACGGCTTTTGGAGACTTTGGACTTCTTCTCAAGGCTGAAAGACTTCTTTTCCTTGTTGTCTGAGGAATCTCAAAAAAAAATAAAAAAAAGGTCAAAGCGTCACCAGCGCATGGCCTCCGCTAAGCGAAAACCGTGGGCACACCGTCATTGCTGCTGAATTCTAACCCACTGAGGAGGGCTATCTCCCTTCAGCTGTGTGCTCAAGGCCAGGCCAGGCCATCCTGCAGACACCTGCAAAATCTGCCAGGAAGAGCAATCAAAAAACCGCACACAAAAGCCCCGCCTGAGCGTTCACGGGAGTCTCACCCCCCACTGCAAACATGGGAAACAACCAAAGTTCCTTCCACAAGGGGCACGGCTGAGCAGACCCCGCGCTGCCTCGCCGTACAGGCTATGGGAGAGGCAGTGAGCGACGACACACACCGCCTGACTGACCCTGGGGCCACACGGAGTGAGAAGGGCTAGCGGCACACGCTGTGACCCCACTGACAGAACCTTCTCCAGATAACAGGACAAGTGGAAGGTTCAGGGACAGGATGCCCCAAACTGAGAGATCAAAAATGTCCCAGGCACCGCCAAAGTCAAGCCCCCATCAGGAGCCGCCAGCGGACATGCCCAATCTCACACACGCACATTCCCTTCATTGTTATCCCTACAAACTCATGCCACACGCGCTATCTGTCATCTTCCCTTGCCACTTTGCAATACCAGAGGTTGTCATCGGCAGCAGAGATTTCAAATTTTATTGATATCCTGCTGTCATTAGTACAGTTATTTATAATATCCATTAGCTTAAGAGCATTCAAAATCACTATTTGGGGAGAAAGTTCACTATTCCCTTTGATTTCATTAATGACACCAGGAAAAGCGTGAAGTGTCGCGCATACTGACACAACCATCCATCTACCACTACCACTACCGCCCCACTTACCGGCAGGGCGTGCTCATTACCGAAAGTAATCAGAGGAGAGACCTCCTCTGGGTGGCAGCTCCGACGGGGACGCTGCCACGGCAGCCAGGAGCAGGGCGCCGCGCTGGCTGAGCCGTCGTGTGTGCTGCCCAGCGCCAAGCACTGCTGCTGTAGCAACGTATTTAAGCCTCAACCGCCTCCCAGGGAAGGAGCCGGCATCTTCAGGCCACCAAAGAGGAAACCCAGGCAGAGAGGTTTAGGGCGCAGTCAAGGTGCATGACACAGGGTCAGAGCCGGGCTGGGATCCTGGCAGTGTGGCTCCGCGCTCATCTCTAAACCACGACCCCCGAGCGCTTCTTCAGCCACACCCCAGGAGCCACGCCACAGGGACATCACCTCACCCTCTCAGGGCAGCTGCCCAGGTAAACAGAAAACAAGCAGTGGGGGAGGCGGAACCCTTGTGCACGGTTAGAGGAAAAGGAAACCGTGGCCACAGTTTTCTGGATCCTCAGAGACTGAAAAATAGAACCACTATGTGATCCAGAAATCTCACTTCCAGGTGACACCCAGAAGAACAAAAGACGGGGTGGGGGGGGGCGGGCGGGAAAGGGCAGGACATGGAGCCTTGGAGAGGTGTCTGCACACCCACGTTCACGGCGGCACCACCACAGAGCCAAGGGTGTGAGGCAGGCGCCCGTCATCAGTGAGCAGATGAGCCAAACGTGGCCTGCGCACACAGGGAGCGCCACTCAGCTCAAGGGAGGCGAAGTGACAACTCTGGATGAAACTTGAGGACACGATGGAACGTAAAATAATCCAGAATCAAAAGGACAAATACTGAATGATTCCACTCATGTGAGCTTCCCAGAGCAGTCAAAGAGAGAGACTAAATAAAACGGGGTGCTGGTGGTGGGAAGGAGGGAGAGCAGAGAACTCCAGTTTCATAGGGACAGTTTTGGTTTTGCAGGACGAAGAGTGGACACTGGTTACAATGTAAATGTCGTGTACTTAACACACTACTTAAAATCACTTAAAATGGTTAAGATTTTCCATTTTAGATTATGTGTATTTAGCACTATTTAAAAAAAAGTTTGCGCAAGAGATAATAGTCTAGACTTCTTCATGAATATGCAGCTGTCTCAAATGAAGTGACAGCCTTGCCTTCCAAATAGCCACCTGACAAGAAACTTCTGTAAAGGCTAACACACTGGAGGCCCGCAGGTCTGAAGGCAGTACCATGCCCCGCCCCTGCCCGCAACAGCACGCCCACCTGCCCTCGTAACGCGCGAAACCAGCAGGCCACAGTTTCGTTTCTACTTCCTACAGCTTGCAAGTACAAGTGCTAGCACCAAGTTTCCTGCAACAAATTTCAAATTTCACCATACTGAGCGATCTGAATCTCTTATAGAAGCAAAAAGTAAAACAAATTCCATTAAGCAGAGTAATGCAAAAGACTTTTCTGGTAAGCGGTCTGATTTAAAGCTGCTTGTGTATGGTGCTAGTTGATATATCTGACTTTGTACTTTAAAAACATGTTTTCAGTCACATTTCAGAAAGATCATTTTGCTATTTGAGACTGCAAACTAAATGAATTTATTCTGCCATTCTCAGCTCTTCCTGGGAAATAGTACTTGTGACAGAGCAGGTCACGCAAGGAAAGCACCCCTGCAACACAAGCAGCAGTGACCGTCTGTACCAGCTCAGTCAGCGACTGGCCGACGTGACGCTGACAGCGAGAAGAGGTGAAAACGTTCTCCCTTGAGACTACATCCTCACGAACCTGTGGGTAACAACGCAACAGCTTCCTTACCTGCTGTCTCCTGCCCATGGCAGCTGTTCAGTTCAGCCAGGAGCTGGTTAAAGTCATCCTGGTGTGCAATCCAGTTGTCCTAAAAATACAACCAAGTCAGTCAGAAGCCAGCCAGTGTGGTGCCCACACAGACTGAGATAAGATATACTGTCGGCCCAAAGAAATGTGATAATTAACCTGAAATTTTAATTGTTTCATCAAAATAGTATAAGTTTGGAGAATAACATAAATGTGAAATGTAGTTTACTTCTATCAGTATTAAAAATAGGTTTGTTACAAATTTAAGCTGAGATTTCCATGTGGGTTACCTATCAACAGTCAGCTGACCGTCACCAGGCAACATGTGTGGCAGAGAGCAAAATAAAGCAAAATAAAAATCTTATTTCCCTGAGGGAAAACTTATGTGGGCCAAAGGAAAAAAGCAGGAATGGATTTACAGTTCTCTTCTCTGCTCATCTGAACTTCAGCTATTTTGCCAACTCCATCTGCCTCCATCGAACCCAACTTCACAAAACGCTGGGAAGGCATGGGAGGAAGGCCTCAAGCCCCCTCAGCCGGGCAGTTGGTCCCCCGATTGAAACGAGAGGATGACCACCTCCCAGTCACACTACACCCGCGGGAAGCAGGGTTTCAATGTACAAACTTGCTTCATACAACTTTTTAAAGAACACTAACAGTTAAACTAAAGGTACGCTGAAAATGTTTACCAAGCAAAGATGTGCTCAAAAATTAAGCACATCTGTGACTATCTCTCAACAGCTACCTTCAAAACCAACCTAACATAAATTTTCCTTACTAGTTTAAAATGTTAGCTTGTTAGTCCAGAAAATTTCAATTGCTCTGGCCCACTTCCAAGAGAGACTGAACTAATCAAAGTTCAGCTTCCCGAACACCAACTCTCTGATTTTCTGCAAGATTCTGTTGGCTGCAAAACCTTAAAAGCAAAGCTCTCAGCTGAGACCCTTTCTAAAGCAGAAAAAGGAAAAAAGAGAAGGAAAATGAAAAGGCTGAGTCGCCAGCTTCTGGTGTCCTGCTGCCAGAGTCCATGCTTGCGAGGATATGTGAGCAACTCAACTGCTGAACACCAACAGTCAGACCAGGGGACGGGAAAATGGCACTTCCTTGAGGAGTTTCTAAAGCCGAATGCCAGCTGTAACGACTCAAATGTTAGAGCACTGGCAGAGATACCATTCCTCGGTCCCAAAATGGAGTGTCTATAAAAAGAATACTTTTTGCAAAGTTCAGCAGTAACACTAATTTGGGTCACTTAGACATAAACAAGCAACGTGACAGTCACCAGTTACGGGCTCATCGGTAACCGAGACATGGCCGACGCGCCAATCAATCAACTGGACTGGACTCTGGTTTTACATTTATAAAAGTCAGTTACACGGTGAAAGCCCCCGCAGAAACACTCTTGCTCACCTCATTGTTGACTGTGGCTCCGAGTCCTAGGTGGTTATTTTTGACTTGAACTTTAATGTGTTCTGTGGCTCCTTGTTCCTGAGCCCCCAAGCCCTGTGGAGATTGAACAGAGAGTCAGTGTCCATCAGATAAACAGAGAGACCACCGCAGCCGCCTTTCATTGATGCCCGGTCAGTCCCCAAGCACCTTGGACTGAGACGCTGTCCCAAGGGCCCCATGAGGATTCCCAGATCTAGGGCTGTAGGGACCCAGGTCTGATGGGTGCTGACCAGCTGCACCCGGAAAGCCAAGGCCACAGGTAAAACAACGAATGGCAGTGTTTCAAACCAACAGCCACTCAAGGCCATGCAAACACTATGAACACAACTTCTTCCGTGCCGCAGAAGCCGAGAAATGTCAGCCCAATGGACATACTACAAGTCTAGAGTTCTCGCCATGAAGTTATTTTACAAAACTTCATTGTGGAATGGGGACTCCCTTCAGTGCACGCCAGTAAGCAGTATCTGTAAGGTGCCCCAGAGAGCTGGAGTGCTGGAGAGCCTTCAGGCAGGCAGGGTGGCACAGAGGGTGATCAAAGAGGAAATAAGATGATATAAAGCGACCAGACCTCATAATAAACTCGGGAGGGCCAGTGAGGTAGAGGAGAACGCAGGAAAGACAACGGTGGGAGAGAAGGCAGATGGGAGAATTTCAAGGGGGTGGAGATACTCAATTATGTCCAATGCTGCCACGGGGTTAAGTAAAGCTGAGAAAAGCAAAGGGCCATGGGTTTGGCGATCAGATCATCAAAGATCTTGACAAGAATGATGTAAGTGTAGTGATGTCGGCAGAAGCCCTATTGGAATCAGGAATAAAAAGGAAGGACATGGGTAGTCTGTTATAGAGGGAATAAAATATAGCAACATACAGTCCTGATGGTTCTGTAACTCTGATGGTTAAGTGTGACTCCAAGGTTAAGTGTAACTCCAAGAGCAACTAAAAGGTCAGTGTCTGAAAGATGCTAATTGTGGTACTTCCAATTACAGAGCTGACATTTATGTTCCCAACAGTCTCCTGAAAGTACGCATTTGCAATCCTCACTTGTCATCTTTTCCAGGCTCAGATCTCTTTAGCTATTCTCTGACGTACCTTCCCCTTAGACCATCCCATCTTCTCCAGCATCCTCTGGCCAAACTTGGAATCATCATTGCTCCAGGCAGTGTTTCTGGGATCCAGAGCCCACTTCTGCTTCCGCCGACCTGTACATGACAAAACATCTCATCAGCAATTTCTCTCTCAAACCTGGACAACACCATACAAATACACACAGGCCTAGCACACACACATACACACACATGCACAGAATGACACACGTTGTACTTTATCAGCCACGGATGAGACTGCACATTCATGGAAGTGTCATCAGACTAGATCATCATCCTGGTTTTCCCCAGCAGCTGTATATTCCCAACAGACAAACCGACCTTGGATAGACACAGACATCCCCCCAAATGTGACAAACCGAACCACCAGTATTCCATCAGTGGGCTCCACATTCAGCTAAAGCGCAGCTATTTAAAGCAGCGGCACTGTCCATGTTAGGACTTAATTATAAAGTGTAATGAATGCCAAGTGTCAAATATGCCCTGGAAAAGTAGAGTATATGAAAAGCCTGGTATCTTGACCAAAAACCTGAGCCTGAAACACCAAATTATATAAGACTAGGCTATGAGAGCAATGAAATTCTTGGCTTATGCGGGGCAAGCAAGGTGTGTAAGTCTGGTTTCCTGTCTTACATAAAGGAGACCCAGTACAGTAACACTTGATAATTACAGAAAGAATAAAGAATGTTGTTGAGAAAAACAAAGAAAACTACTAGATTTGAAAAATGGGTAAGCCCCTGTAGTGAACACAGAGGGACCAGATTCTGGTCCACAGCAGAGTAAACAGCACCCTCGGTGCAGTGGAAAAGCTGTAACTGCAGGATGACCCCATGCTCATCAACTACCAGAGAAAATAAGTGCTGGACAGTGAAATTATGGCACTTTTCTATGCTTCTGTTTTTTTCATCTCTAAAACAAGACCACCAGTCCCAAGAGCTAATCACAAGGGATGCCGCAGATGTTAATTTAGCACATTTTAAAAAGACACGAGACAAAATATTATGTGTTACAACAAAAATTTGAGACTTGAGAGTCATGGTGGGGCAAGAACAGGAAATATTCTCTTCACTTTACAGATTGGAACAGCCGATGTCGACAAACGGTGCTTCACACCTGCACACCACTTCAGACTCAGAACTCTCCTCCCCGTCACCATCTCATCGATTTTAAAGTCAGCCTAGTGATGATGATAGTAAAAGAAGCTTTTGATAGCCTCACAGATACTGTTCACAGCAAGAGACATAAAAGAGCTTCAGAGCCAGGGATAAGGCTGTGACGGGCATGCTGACTGAAACACACATCACAGAACAGGAAAAGCAGGAGGGATCTCCACCATCTAGGTAGGCTCCCGCTTCTTTCTGGAAGAAGAAATAGCACCTGCAGGGTCACAGCTGAAACATACTCCTACGAATTTCCACTTAAAAACAAGAGAAAACTGCCCACCGTACTGGTGAGAATGTAGTGAGAGAGTGACAACTGGATCAATGACTCTGGGTCAATCATTTTCATCTCAATTTCTGGCCGGCAGAATTGGAAGGGCACCGAACCTGCTTCGGTTCATGCTCCCATGCCTCCATCCCTTTCTGTGAGAGAGTGCTGACAGCAACTGATTGATTTCACAAAGCCCCCCGGGTGGTGGCTGCTGGCGGCTTTTAAACTACCCCCTTACCGCTCACCAAGCTTACTGCCCCCAAGCAACGGGCCGGCCTCTCAGGGCCGCGGCAAGACCGCCATCTGGCGGCAGGCAACCGCGGCCACCGTTCCCGGGCCAGGCCGCCCTCCAGAGGGATGGGGTGAGAGGACCCCAGAGTGAAGGTAAATGTCAAAGGCAAACTGAGGCCGGCCGGGGCACGGCGGCCGAGGGTAGTCAAGAAAGAGTGGTCCTAACCCCAAGGAACGCGGTCAAAGCCGAAGGACTAAGACTTAGTCACTGGGCCCGACGCCTGGGAAAGGCCAGCGTCCCGCTCGGCGCTCGGACCGCTCCGCTGCTCTGGTTCCGGTTCCGCATCTCCGAGACCGGGCTCCCCTGCCCGAGCGCGCCCGCCGGCCCGGCGCCTCCCTCGACCCGGGGAGCGGGGCCCCGCCCGCCAGGTGGAAGGGCCGGCCCGGGCCCCGCTCGGCCCGCGCGCGCGGGGCAGGTGAGGACCAGCGTCCCCGCGGACACCGGCACCCGCAGCGGCCGGGGGGACGCGGGGAGGCGGGCGGGGCGGCAGGGCGGGCCGAAGCTGGGGCTGCCGGCTCCGGGCCCCGCGCCCGCGCCCCTCGGCCCGGCGGAGCGCGCCTCCCGGGAGCTTCACCCTCGCGCCCTCGGGGCTCGCGCCCTCACTCACGCTCCGCCAGCATCGACATGTCGCAGCGCGGGGGACGCGGCGGCCGCGGAGCAGCGGGGCGCGCACGCCGGGCACACGGGCGGCAGCGGCGAGGGCGCACGCTGTGACGTCACGGGGCGCGACGCGCTCCGGCGCACGCGACGAGTGGGCGGGGCGAGGCGACCTGGCAGAGCGCGCAGACGCGGCGGGGCTTAGGGGCGGGGCTTAGGGGCGGGGCTTGGCGGAGGGGGCGGGGCTTGGCGGAGGGGGCGGGGCGTGCGGCCTCCCCACCTGGGCGCGTCTGCTGCGGGGCCAGCGCTGGACGCGGGCCCCTGGTCACCCCACCAGCCATCACTCCAGGCCGAGCCCGGTGCTTCCCGAAATAAACAGCCCTTAGGGGCCGCGGAGTGGCTGGAAACCGCGGGAGTTTCGCGGCGGGCGGCGTCCTCTTCACGTCCTACCGCGGCCCTCAGAGACGGGCCAGGTGGGTGGGAGGCCAGGTGGCTTCAGGGCAAGGCAGGTAGCTGGGCAGATGGTAAATGGCAGATTAGATGGATGACAGCCTGACTCTGATACACCCCATTCCGTCTGTGGGATCCCCAGGTAAGCAGTAACTGCACTGGGGGAAATGTCTCTCTCGTCTTCAAACAAAATGAAGGTTTTTGTTGTTGTTGTTGTTTCCCTGCACTTGCCTTCTGGAACTTTGCCCCTATCAAATTCCTCTCTGTATCTGCGTCATCACCTAGCAAAATCATTTGAACTCGACTAGGGACTCCGTAGATACTTGTCTGCAGGGGAGTGCAGGTGAGCTTCTGGCAACGGGAACCTCAGGCAGACAACAAGGACATGGATCGGGACAGGTGACTCCCAGCTGCGGGTGACAGTGCAGGGGGAGCCTTCTTCTCATGAGCGGAACACTGAGTTTCACCCGGGAGCCAGGAGAAGGGACGACTGGATTCCTGTTCTAGATGAAATCATTAAATAAGGAGCCTAGTCAGCCCAGGTGAACCTCTGCACGCCAGCAAGAGGACAGGAATGCTGGCGAATCCCTGCTATTGTTGGGGGCTCCTGGGGGCAGCGGAGGGAGGAGATGCGAGGTCAGTGAGTTCCCGCAGTCCAGGTAGGAGCAGGTAAGGGACCACGGGGAACAGGACTAAGCCGGAGCTGAACTTGCACGGCATTAGGAGAGCAGGGCTACGGGGTCGTACGCCACTTAGCAGCTCTGTTTGATTCGACCAGGAAGGTGGGAGGTGGTTTTACAGCCCAGAGAACAGCAGCCGGATGGGAGGCCAGCGTTGCTCAGCATCACGCATGCCGGCAGATGACTTCAGGAAGACCGTGTTGTTCCTGGCCACACTGTTACTGTAGCTCAGGTGATGTTTGTCACCCCAGTAAGGCCGTGGGGGGCAGAGAGTGGCGCCTGTGGCTGGGTGAGTGCCGCCCGGAGGCGCTGGTGGGCACCCACAGGAATGTGTGGAAGAGGCTGCTGGGTGAACGCGGGGCAGACGGGGGTTTCCAAGATCTGTTCCAACCCCGGCTTCCCCGTGCCTGGGACATCTCTCGGGACCATTGACTGAGAAAGCTGGTGTTCACTTTGGGATTTCCAGACAATCACAGAATCTTCTTTATATCTTCAACTGGTCATCAAGAGTGGAAATTGCACTTTTAAGGAGCATGCCATGTGGGACGTTCAGTGCTGTGCTGCCTTCCCCTGGCACAGCCTCTTCCGGTGGGGTCCTCAACGGCACACGCGCCTGAGACCGCCAGGGGACCTTGTGCAAAGGAGAATTCTGCTCCAGCAGGGCTGGGCGGGGACCAGAGACGCTGCCTTTCCCACAAGCCCCAAATGCCCAGACGCCAGGAGAGACTCAGGAATAAGCAGTTTTCCCGGGAGAGCAACCCAAGGTTGGACACAATAAAAACTGACTGACTGAGAGCAGGTAACACTCGTGATAAAGCTTGACTGGCCTGGGTGTGCGTTTAACTGGGAGGGGCGGCCGGGGAGGGGCGGGCGGGGCGAGGTGGGCAGTGAGGGGAGGGGAGCCCCGTAGTCCTAGTCACGGGTACGTCGCTCTCTTCTCGCAGGGATAATCGTCACTGAAAAGCAGCGCTGGGGGCAAGTGGTGACTGAGCTGTTTTCCTCGCGTTATCGAGGTGTGAGTGCAGATGGGAAGGGGCTGGCGCGTGTCGAGGGCTACCGTGTGTTGCTGGAACACCGTGCGCGCCTGAAGGGGCTACCTCAAGCAGATGGACACACGCGTCACCCCGCACATTTACTTACTTACGTATTTCTTTACTTGTTGAAAGGACTGAAGACCTGCTCTGGGCACACTGAACATTTTCAATACGGCGTCGCCACCAACCGTCACCGCCGCGGCCCAGACCCTCGGGACCCACAGCGCGTCCTGGCGCCCCCACCCCTGCCAGTCTGTCCTCCATCCCTGAACACTGTCCTTTGAACACTGTCTCGCGAGTGGAGCCCTACGCCATGCAACTTTTGGATTTGGTTTAGATTCTGTTTGGTTTTCCCTCAGCACCGTTCCCTGCGGACCCACCCCAGTGACTGCCTGTTCCGGCCGTCTCGCCCTGTAGAGGCTCCGGGCAGCGTCCAAGGGCGAGAGGACCCGGCCTCTGCCTGCTCAAGGACATCGGGGCTGCTTCCAGGTTTGCTTGGACGAGGCAGTGTTCCTGGAAGGTTCCCGTCTAACAGAAACAGCCATTTGCTTGGCGTCAATGCCCAGGAGCAACTGCCGTGTCGCACGGCGACTGTACCTTTACACCTGGAAGAAACTGACGAAAGCGGCTTCCACGGGCTGCGGCGTGTCCCTCTCCGCCAGCCACGCGGCTTGTCCCTCTCCGCCGGCCACGCGGGAGCGGGCTGGGCGCGGCGCTCTCCCGCCGGGCTGTCGCTCTTTCGGCCGTGCGGGGAGATCCTGTGGTCTCCATTTGCGCTCCCCCCTGCTGACGACGTGGCACATCTTTTCACGAGTCTACCTGCCATCTGTGCGTCCTCTTGCGGAAACGTCCGTTCGTGCGTCTGGTCCACAGTTCACCACGTTTTAAAAGTCAGCTCTAGCTCTAGAGCTCTCACCGCGCCCACCGTGCCCTCCGTGCCCTCTGAGCCCTCCGTGCCCTCCGATACTTCAGCAGCAGGAAGCACAGGGCACAAGGGCAGCCGCTTGCACTGTTAGAAACTGTGTTGCTAGTTTGCTCCAGTCTTTACGGGCCTGCAGCAGGGAGGACAGGTGGGGCCTGGCTGGAGTGTGGTCAAGGAGAGGTTTCTTGTCTGGGGTGGGCGTTGTTCTGAACTCTGCAGTTGTCTCCTTTAGTGCTCACAGAAATCCCTTGGGTGGGTGATGCTATTGCGCCCACTTTACAGTTGGAGAAATGGAGGTGCAGAGAAATTAAGTTGTTTGAGCCAAGAACGACACCTACATGACCCCACCTCACAGCTGGCGCTAGTGTCTTGGCACTGTAAAGGGTAGGGCTGCCTGGGTGAATTTGGGGTCTCACTTAAAAGGGAGTCTATTTACTGCATCCGTTGCCGGGGAGAAGCTCCTGTCCCTGGGAAGACCCAGAGAGGCAGGAACACAGGGTGCCCTGCCCAGCAGGGTACTCTCCCATGTTATGTGGAAAGCTGGTGGGATCCGGAGAAGGGGCTCTGGAGCCTGACGAGGAAGCAGACGCGGTGTGTAGGGAGCCAGGCAGGAAGCGAGAGATGAGGGTGCATGTGGCCCCCCACCCCCATGGGAGGCTGTGCCCCATCGTGTGGAGGTGCTGTGGGTGGGGGCAGAGAGCACCTCTGATCCTCCACTTTATCCTCTGAGGGTTCTTGCTGTCCCACCTGCTGCTGCGGAAAGGCCTTGGGGAAGCCCCTGCGCCTCTCAGCCTGTGGCGTTGGCAAAGGGGGAGCACCGTCTCATTCACAGAAAGAAGGTCATTTCGGGTAAGGCCACCTTCCGTTGCGGGAGGCAGGCTCCTGTGCAGGTGACCCCGGTCCTGGTGGCCCACAGGTCAGGTCAGTGGACTGGAATCTGGGGGGCGGCAATAGCACAGAGACCTCTGGCCACGGAAGAACTCGACATTCTGGATCGTGTTTGCTCCCCACGGCAAATCCCCTGGATTCCGGAAGGGGTGCCGGTGCCGGCTTGGATGAAAGCGTTTAGCAAAGCATGTGGACTCGAGGAGGAAAGATTTGGGGCTAAGGGTATTCGGGCCTCCCATGTCTCTCTCCCGCACCCAAACTCTTTAAACGGGGGGACCTCACAAGCCGACGGTCACCTGTCTGTGCAATAATGGGAATTTTGGAAAAGAGATTTGGAAAGGAGTGGGCGGGGCGGGGCGGGGCTTTCTGCCTCTTGCCTGCTGGAAGAAGAGTCACCAGACTCACCCCTCGGAGGGCTGCTGAGCCCTTGACTTTCTAGTCGGCCCTGAGTTCACGTCTGACGCGTTGACTTAGGCCTGAAACAGCGTCCTCGTGAGCCCCCCTCCTGGGCTCAGGCATTCTCCCGAGAGCCTGACCAGGGCCTGTGGGGGTGGCGGACAGGGGATGGGGGGGTGTGTGCCCACCCAGCCTCATTCCGGGGGAGGAGCCGGAGGGAGTGCAGAGAGTTACTTGGTTACAAAGGTTGGGAAGGGACAGGCAAGGGAATGGAAAGCCGGGAAAACTGAGGGAGGGGAGATGGGCCAAGTGGCTGACTGCGGGGACTCACCGCCCCTGCAGCCGAGGACGAGGACGGAGACGCCCCCATCTGTTCTCTGGTCAAATCTTCCTCCTCCCTCTCCCCTCCTCCCTCTCTGACTCTCCTTCCTCCATTCCTACTTGACCTGCTCTCTCTCTCCCTCCTGCCTCCCTCTCTACTCTGCCCCCCTCCCTGTCCTCAGCCCCCCTCCTTCAGAGTCACCCCACTGGACCAACTCCCACTGGGAAGAAAGGTCGATACCGACACGGGCCGCTCAGGTACTGAGCTGCTTTCTCCCCAGACGAGGCTCTTTAACACTGACCGTGTCCAAGAGTCAGGGTCACGGTCTGGAAGCTCCTGGAATTGTTAGGGGATGCCCTGCAACAGAATCAGCACCCCATTTGCCAGATATGCTTCAAAAGACCTCTGAATGCAAGCCCAGTGCAGGGGCTCCTCACGCCCGCTCCCCCGCTCTCCCAGCGCCTCCGGCCCAGCCGGCCCCCTGCCGCCCAGCAGATGAGCCCAGCCCAGGTCCTGTTTACCCTGGCATAGCCACGAGAAATTACCCCGATGGAAACCCTTTTGTTGGATGTCTGTGGGCTGCACCAGAAGGCAGCTGGCCCCAGGGAGTCATCGAGGGTAAGGCCTTGGGCAAAAAGAGTTACATTCAGAAAACACAGCCTGGGACTCCTGTCTCTCCCACAGCGCCCGCCTTGAACACTGACCTTTCTCTCTAGCTCCTTCTCTGCTTCCCCATGTGCTTGGGCTCTCCCCGTCACCCCGGCAGCAGCCTGCATTGGGGTGCGCGGTCCTCTGCAGGGCGGCCCCACCTGTGGGCAGAGGGGGCGTGTCAGGCTGTGGGGGCAGCTGGTGCCCGGGGCGCCCACTTACCTCCTCGTCGCCCCTCCCAGGTGTCCAGGGGGCAGGCACAGGCGACGGCGCAGGCGGGGGTCCCTCGGGCGCCCGTCCCTCCCCCGCGGGCAGGAAGGAGAGGCACACGCACACACGTGTTATTAAAATGAACTGTTTATATTATCTCAGTTGAGTCAATACATTATAATGTATTAAAATGGAAAGGTACAAAATTGAAATAAATACTTTCTGATTCATGTATAAATCTTTTTTGTCAAGATGACTTTTATCGTCAGTACATGTCACAAGAAAACATTTAAAATGACACGGAAACAATCGCTGAAATCATGGTGCATGGAGGAAAAAGGTGAAGAAAACAACTTTTGGCTTGTTTTGGCATGAGACCTTGATGCAATTTGGGTTCCCCAAAACCACGTGAAGGGTGGTAAAATAGAAATGCTCAGAACGGACTTAAAAAAATAAACAGGCTTTACAAAAACCCTCTTTGTGATTAACCCAGCCACTTCTCGGCATGGTCTGCGCTTACAGTAGATACATTCATTATTGTCCACAGGAAGACAGCACTGCGTTGTGTTTGAAAGAGCTTGGTGGAGAGGCTGAAGAAAATGCTGAAGGTGGGTAGAATGTTCGGGAGAGCGAGAAGTCTAGATGGTCCCCAGGACAGGCACTGAGGAGGATGGGCGCGGAGTCTCTGGAACGAGAGGCGGGGCCTGCACCGTCCAGATCTGAAGCAAAGCAAGACCGAAGGACCCCGAAGGGGTGGGGACGTGAGCGGGCGGGGGAGGGGGGCTCTCTCTGCCTGAGCCGGGCTGGGCTCGCCCTCAGCCAGATATTTCTGTCTCAGTGAGAGGCTCATGCAGCCCTTAGGGGCTGGGGCTGGGACTCTTTTCAGGCACAGCAGCAGTGGGGAGACCAGGAAGGGGGGGGGCTTGACACTGGGTCCCCTGGAAGGGGCGTTCTCTTCTGGTTCTGACTGCTTGTTAGGTGGTTGTTAAGGCAATAAGGACTTTAGCAAACGAGAAGTTAAGGGCAGCTAAATTCAGCCAGATTGAAGGTAAACAAAAGGCCAGAGGGAGTCCCTTCTCTCAGCTACGTTCCCCAAGCACGGGAGGCCTCGGCCCCGAAGCTCTGAATTTACAGTGTGCAGTAGCGGAGGGCTTGCCCTTTGGAAGGCTCCATGGAAAAGAAGGCTCGTCCCTGACCTGGGGAGACCTGACCGAGTTCCTACTCTCTAGACTCTTCCCTGAGGGGCTCTCCTGGCGGGCAGGCTGTGCTCACCCAGCTATCGAGTGAGAAGCAGAAGCACCAGGGCTCGTGCAGAGCTGGGGCAAGTCCTTTGCTGTAGACGCTCTGGCCCGCCCGACAGCCTGTCCACGCGGGTCCTGGAAAGCCAGACCAAGGCCCACCTGCCCCAGGAAGCCCTTGACTTAGCTGGAGAACGGGACTAGCCTTTCAGGTTCTGGAATGTTCCCCCTGGCGCAGATGGAATGACAGCTACAAAGGCCACAGGAATGTGAGGTCTTAGGAAGGTTTGTGAGCCCGTGTGTGGGTCCTGAGGGAAGTGAAACTCTTTTGACTTGAATCCACTCACAGGGGCACCCAGAAGTGAGACCACGACAGGCAGAAGAACCTTGTCCTTCCTCCTTGCTGGGGGGCGGGGGGAGGCGGGGCTGGGGGCCGGGGTTGGGGAAATGACCTGTCCTTCTGGGCAGACTTCAGGCAAGATGCTGGGTGATGCTGTCACCTTGTAAATGGTTAAACTGATCTCAGACCCTACAGCACAAAAGAAAAGAAACTGATCTCACTTTCTCTCTGAGGCTTGTGTTCTCAGAAACAGCTTTCTTAGCGGACCCAG